CGGGGAACTAGCTAGCTTTGTCCTTCATTATTCACCAACCACACACGCTGAGTTTTCCACCGTGACGTTATGTAATGTTTTCGTAAAAATACTACTGTCCGATGACAATCCACTGGAGTTAAACGATTCGTAATGTTCGAACTTTGTAAATGCTCCTGGTCAAATATCTGAAGATTTCCGATTGACAAGCCTTATAACAATCACAGTTATAGCTTCCAAAGGTTATAACACACTGACCATAGCAAATTAATAATAGATACAACTTTTTTGGCGCGTCGCGTTGGTTATATTTATAGGCGTGTGGAGTGTTTCTCGAAATTTCAGTTTTACGTAACAATACAAAGCTATATTAAGCGTTTACGTGCATTCATATATTGTTGATTCTTACACTCGAGAATCATCTACAACTTTAGAGAATAGGCGAGAGTTTCGCAATACATATTTAACACTATAAGCTAGGCATATTTCTAAATAGAAACTTGATCTAAACAAACGTTGATATTAAGATAAATATATAATAATAAATCCGTTATAAAAGGAATACCAATTCCTTTCATTCTCTTATTATGGAGATCAGCGACTGTCATAACTGCTAAAACTGAGTGGCAGTCACAAAATGCAACACACCTACATATATGCAGTTAAAAAGAGTACTATGCTAAAATAATTACACAATAAATAACCCCGGAAATGGCGTAAGAACACCGAAATATGTAGAGTAATTTCACGGCTGGTTCCTGTTTTGATTAATTATTTATTGTGTAATTATTTTAGCGTTGTACTTTTTTTTTATAACTGTATTTATGTATATCTATTGCCCAATAATTCAGAAAGCAAGAAAACCTATTTCCTTTTACTCATTTGCTGAGTGAACTAATGACTGTAACTAATTAAATGTAACGTTATTACAAAATGAGGAGGTAGCTCAGGAAATAGATAATAAACTTATTTCATTATGTTTGTTTTAATTTCGCGCAAAGCTACACGAGGGCTATCTGCACTAGCCGTCCCTAATTTAGCAGTG